TGGAATTTTATGTAATTTTGATGTGATAAATCATGATTATTCATGTACATGATGAGTTATGGTTGCTGTGATCATTCTTTGATGGGAATTTATGTTTGAAATTTATATGAAAAGACGACGGTCACTCTTGGTGACATGCAGATCTTCATTGCGCCAGGGAAGACAACATCCTCGAGACAGATGGCGAGTGTAACCCAAGACCATCATCGCCCGAGGAGAGTGAGAGTCATCAGGGCTTGTGATGGGCAGACCGTTAACCCATTCGAGACAAGTTTTGTGATTAATCTAACTTTTCACACTGATTATGTTTCCCGACATATTTTCATACTATTTTAAGACAAAAGTGTTAGGTAGTGAGTTCGTGATAACCAAAGGTAAGAGAAGTTCAAAATTGAGTTCTTGTACCAATGATTGTTAGTCTAGAATTTGAATGATCTCGAGGGTATTCAACATTGTAAGATCACAAAGACGAATGTCATACTAGTATTATGTGTTTGAGTAAGGTGGTGAGTTATGACATAAGTCCAGCAATTGATAAGTTTAATATAGATATGAGAGGTTTGTGAACATCGCATAAATTGATAATAACCGATGGGTTATGTGTGTTTTGGTTAGTAAGGTCCGGTGTTGTTGTGTTAGGTTCATGAGAACCAGTGTTTAGTCTAGTGGGAGAAAATATGAGGTTTCCGAGGACCGACATTAGCCTTTTGGTGGTGTATTAGGTTTGTGAGAACCAATGTTTTCCTTAACCAATAGTGTACCCTTTGATGTTAGAGGTTAGGATGGAAGAATTTCATTTGTTTGTCATCATCATGCATCATGTATATCAGAGTTAGGTTAAGACTTTGGTACGATAATTTAGGACTTCAGTCCAACGATTTAGGAATTCGGATCGATGATTTAGGGTTCTTTGTAAAATAACTCTAAAATCTGGAGATGGCACCACATGCTTGTGAGTAGAGGAGATGAGCATTACATTTACATTACTAGGTGTATTATTATATTGTATACCGTGTCTGCTAGTAAATGAGTGCCATAAATTATCCTTGTTGTTATTATGTCATTGATGATTATCAAATGTATTCTCATCCCTTATTTGTTTTTATGTCATTATACATATGAATTTACACATGTGAATCTCAAGTTTAGATTGGGGAGTGATAATGGGGCTAGTTGTAGAATATGTTTAATTGATTTATGTTGCTTCATGTTTTTGTCGGACATCAAGTTGCCTAGTAGTTTTACTTAGTATTATTGCTATAATATTGTGACATCGGAATGGGATCTTTGTTTTACTATTTTCCCCTTATTCAACATTGAAATGAGTCAATATGTTTATTTATTGTTTTTGGATTTGGTACCCATATATTTTTAATAAAAGTTGATTATTTGTTAGGAGACACCCTTAATGCCTCTATTATATTCCACAATGTTTTCTGATTTAAAATGAACTTTTTTTTTACTATGGGTTTAGGGTGTTACACCCACCCCTGGGCCTCTCACGTTGTACAAACGCGTGTTGGAACACACTACTGAGCCTAATCCCGTCATGGTTATTTTCATCCATTGTACCTATAATATAACCATAAAATTACATCATAATGCAACCAATGCAAATCTAAAGATACATATTTAGAAAACACCATTGTTGACCTAACCTCCAATAAAATAGAAATGCATGTCTATACAAACTACCTCCTTCAATTTTAATACTATCTAATGTGGCTTAAACAACCTATGTTACCTAAAACATCATTCAAAGACAAAAAAAAAGAATGAAATGAGAAACTTACCAAATCAGAATTGTGGATTAGAAACTTGAACGGAGTGAGTAACTTTGCAGCAAATAAAGTAGAATGAAGTGAGTGAACTTGATTAAACCTCCTAAAATAGGGTTTAGAAATGGTTTTCAACAAAAGAGCTCAAATGGAGTTTTTTGAGTGACTTTTCAGATAATGAAGGAGGAAGAGGGAAGGGTTTGACGCGGGTTTATGAATAAAACACATCCAGAGATGCATCTTTGGATGACTATGTGAATTTTGAAATAATGATTTACCCAGAGCCGCATCTCTAGACTCTCCCTTATGTCATACAAAGATACATCTCCGGATAAAATTTTGGAAAAAAAGGGTTGCTCATTCATTTGTGTTAAAAGGTGTGTAAAAAAATGTTCATCCGAAGGGGAACTTGTGACTTTTCATGGTGGTGGGGAGCACCCCTAAGAGTGAGAAAAGTAATTCCCTAATATTTTAAGGGAATTTTGGTTAACAATTATGACCTTGATAGATCGACGCATGACTGGAATTGTGGTCAAGATTTTCACTTGGCTTTTTGAATAGTATATTTGAAAGTACTCTATTATATATATTGAAGGAAATAATCTTATTCATAAGGTATGATTGTTTTATGGTCACTTGAAAAATTACATTTTCATGAAGTTTTGTTTTGATTCAAGAACATCTTCAACTTATAATACCAATGTTCATTGTGTAGAATTTAGCCTGATCAAACAATAATTTACCTAACATTATCCAGTTACATCTTTTACTTACAATAAGAGATTTTATCCTGCCACTTCCTTAATTTTGTATTGACCAAAATGTCCATCTCATTATTTACCTATTTCAAAATTATTATTTAGTCAAAAAAATTCTCCATGAATGAAACTGTAAATTTCAAAATATTTGGTAGTTGTAGTAAAAACCAATGTAGATTTTTTTTAGGAATTAGAGAAAACATTGCATTTTAACTGTACATTTTAAAACTCGATATGAGTTTATACCGAATTCTTTAATATTTCGATGCCTTTATACTGAATTTTCTGAAAAATCCAATACTTAATTAGAAAACCTATATATATTTTTGTCGAGTTTTTAGAAAAATTCAGAAAGCAGTAAAATTTCTGGATTTTTGAAAAATTCTGGTATACCGGATTTTTAGCCTAGTGTGAAAAATTAAGTAGTTCAATTCAAGATGCTTTATTTGTGTGCTTCTGAGATGGATGTTCAGCTACAAATTTTACGCAGTTCTTCACCACTATCGTTGTACGATTGACTTGCTTGTTTTGTTTTTAACTTGTGTAAAATTTAATAAGGTTTAGGTATCCCTAGCATAAATAATTCATTCTTTATATGTTATAAATGACTGATATTTTCCTTTCGGACTAACGTGTTTGCATGAGCACAATCCATTGATAAATAACATGGTATTATTATAGTTATCATTTATTTTGTTACTGCAAATGAGACTATATGGAAGAATGATAAATTTATTATGGATCGTGATGTAAGAGAAAACTACAAGAAGAATAATTCCTCTCAAGGCACTTTTAATGTATAAGTTAAATATCAATTTATGTTGAGATTTATGCCAAGTGACAGTAGCTGAAAGGTCAGTTAGGTGTGAATTTCACAATCATGAACTAGCTACAAATTTAGTTTGTCATGACATATTAGACAATTTAAAACATAATGAAAGATTTTATGAATGACATGACAAAATACAATATGGCTCCCAGGTATATAGTTGATGCTTTGAAATATAGAGATCTAGAAAATCTGACAAGTGTTATACAAGTGTATAAGGCAAGATCTACATACAACACGGGCAATAGAGGTTTATTGATTGAAATAAAACACATGCCGAGTCTAATTCATGATGAGAAATACATGTATTGGTTCAGAAAAATGGTCGAATCAAATGTTTTTACTGATATATTTTGGACACATCCTGATTCATTGAAGTTATTGAACATGTTTCATTTGATATTGATTTTTTATTGTACATACAAAACAAACAGGTACTGCCTTCCCCAAAAATGTAACTTTTTCTCAATTTGATTCAGGGAAGTTGTAGATTAAATGTCATATAGTGTTGTTTATTGTCTGTACATACAAAACAAATTGGTAGTGACTCTTACTATTTGAGATTGTTGGTGTTACATCAACGAGTAGTTGACATTTTCGGTTGAATTTGCTTATTTAAAATATGAAAGGGAGAAAAATATTACATGAGAACTAAGTGACAAAATGAGAATTAGTGTGAGAGGAAGAATGAATTTGAATACTTGAAATGATCTACTTTTCCCTTTATATAATGAGAGCAGTTAAAATCGTCTGCATGAGGTGAAACGTGCGTGTAGCCTTTAGATCTAATTAGACGGTGATAAATATGTCTAAATAGCGGAATAACTTACTTCCGAATAAATGAGAGTGTACTTGTTTTACGCACTTTCCTGCTTAATGGTCTTATGCTTTTTGCTTTGGATCTTGTGTATGGTTCAGAATAATTTTTTTTATACTTTAATTATTTTCAATAGGAGTGTGACATAAATTAAATGTAAGTTATCTATTTCACTTAATAATAAATTTTATGAAGTTTTTATTTAGAATAGTCAAATATTCAAATAATGTATTCTTGATGAAATTATGTTATTCGCTTTGCTTGATTAAATTAGTTAAAATTGCTAACATGTAAGATGATTTTATGCTTTAGAATCACTTCAAATAATTAATTTACTATAACGATTTTAATATCTATTTCTTCTTCTATGATTCTCTTTTCAGAATGATTAATTTTAATTGGATGATCGTGTAAATTAATTTTATAGTCACAATGTATTTCAATTAGTCTCTTTATAATATTTACTTTTTTTTAATTTAAGTTTATTTTTTAAATGATAAAGGACGTAACTGAATCCTCTATTCAGCCAAAGCCAACATTTATCACATTGTGCATATAAACAAAATTATTTAATAATAAATCATTTGAATAATGTTGTAAAAAAACAAACCAGACAGTTAACTGCACGAACCAAAAAAAAAATCCCTCAAATAGTTGGCGGTTATCGGTAGTTATTATTTTTGAAAATTAACTTGCATTACCTCGTTTTGAAACAAGAAACGCCGTGTCCCTAAAAACATCTCCAACTGCCCTATATTTATTAATGAACAAGTTGTTTCACTGTCTCTCTCTCTTTATTCTCTCATCACAAAATAATAATGGCTCCTTCCTTCACAGTAACTTCACGTTTTCATGAATCCTTCACCCGAAGTGCACTTCGCTCTTATCTCGCTGAGTTTATCTCAACTTTCTTCTATGTCCTTATCGTTGTTGCTTCTGGAATGTCCTCAAGTCAGTAACATACCCTTTTCCTAGCTTTCTCATTTCTTAACTTACGTTTCTTTTCTTTTTCTTTCTGTTACTAACATATCCATGATAAAGATGCAAGTTATGTGTTACAAAATATGCGTTTACTTTCCGTTTCTAATGAAATTTCAATATTATAATATCATTTTTAAGTTATTACAATGCAAAGTGTTTTCAACTATTACAAGTTAATAATAACGGCTTCATGATTTGAGACAGTTTTTTATTTTTTTCACAAATGATAGGGAAGTTGATGCCTGATGCTTCACTGAACCCAACAAGTTTGGTCGTGGGTGCTATTGCAAATGCGTTTGCTCTCTCCTCAGTTTTGTACAATGCATGGGACATCTCAGGTGGACATGTAAATCCTGCTGTAACATTTGCAATGGCTGTTGGAGGCCATATTAGTGTCCCAACTGCTCTCTTTTATTGGGTTGCTCAACTTATTGCATCTGTTATTGCTTGCCTTTTCCTCAAAGTCATTGTTGTTGGAATGGTTGGAATTTTCTTTACTTTTTCCATTTTTTTTCCAACATTAATATTTCATATTTCTTTAACTCTTGCATATGCTTTTTTTTTGTTGCAGCATGTACCAACATATGTAATTGCAGAAGAGATGACAGGATTTGGAGCATCAATATTAGAGGGTATCCTAACATTTGTGTTAGTGTACACAATATATGCTGCAAGGGACACTAGGCGTGGTCAAGTTGGTTCGACAGGAACACTTGTAATTGGGTTAATAGCAGGAGCAGGCGTGTTAGCAGCAGGACCATTCTCTGGTGGATCCATGAACCCTGCATGTGCTTTTGGCTCTGCTTCCATTGCTGGAACTTTCAGAAATCAAGCTGTATATTGGGTTGGACCCTTGGTTGGTGCTGCTGTTGCGGGTCTTCTTTATGACAATGTGTTGTTCCCTTCTCAGGATTCAGATTCAATTAGAGGAGGGGTTTCAAATGTGTAATGTTATTATTATTGATTAAATTGTATTGTACTGCTTTACTTTTTAGATTTCTGTGGTAAATAGTTAGTTCTGCGTAGAGCTTTGAATTTGATTGTAGTTGTAACTTGTACGTTATTGTGCTGTCCTACAAGTGTAAGAATGTTAGACATTTGGCTTTGTATTTTTTAACAACATCTCACTTGTATGTCAAATATTATGTAATATGAAGTCTTAACAATAGTTAGTTCTGTTTGTGAATGTTATTCATTGTTGTTGTGATGGGGAATAGGCAAGGTTGTGGAAACCTTAGTGATGTGAGTAAGTCCATTCGAAAAGTAATCTAGATTTAAATATAGAATAAATAGTTATTTTGCCCCTGCCATATAGGACGAATTTAAAAAATAACCCTATAAAAAAAACAGATTTCATCCCTATAATTTGTAGATTCTCTCGTTTCAGTCCGTTAGTGAATCTGGTCACTTAAAAAGCTGATGTGGACTTGACTTGTTGGCATTTTTTATTAAAATGAGTAACATGTGACTTTATTACAATTTATTTTTTTATTTATAAAATATCAATTGAAATAATGTTAAATAATACATATTTAATTGCTAATTGGATTATCTTCTTCTTCTTTGTATTGTGCAATATCTAGATCGAGGGTTCATCTCACCACGACTTCATCTTCAACACGGTGTCTTCTTCATAATCCGTAAATTTCACATATAGTAGGAAGTGCAAGTTTAGGGATCAAATCTATTGGAAGAGAAGCTCCAATTTGTGGGTACGAGCTTCCTATGAGAATCTTTGTTTTGAAATCAAGCTCAAATCCAGGAAGAAGATATTGGAAATGTAGAAACTAGGGGGTTTGTTCAAATTTATTCATATCCCTTGTTCATACCTGATTTAATGGTGTTATATAATAGTTTTTCAGATTTCATTTTTTTAATCTTCATACGTTTCATCTACTTTTCAGAACGATGACGATTGTCATCTATTTTACTGGGATGATGAGCTTGAATGTGGCAATCGTGATGGACGAAGGTATGACGGAGGTTGCACTGAAAGTGAGAATATGATTGAGGTTATGAGGAATTATGGAGTAGAGTTCGGGAAGAATTTTGTGAATGAGTTTGGAATGACAATGAACAAGAAGATTGAGAAACTGAAAATGAAGTCTACAAATGATCAGAAGACAATTAAAACCCTCACTTACCTCCTTATTGCATCTTGGATTTTTTTTGTTGCTATTATGTTTAGTATGTAGAATATGTTGTACACATGTAGAAGTAGTTATGTTGTGGAAAAAATATTTGTTGTACTCTTTGTGTTATCTAAATTTGAATGAAATTTGGATCCATATTCTTGCTCATATAATTGGTATAATTGATAATAACTTATCATAATTGATAAGCATACAAAACTTCAAATACTTCAAGTAAATACAAAAGACCATAAAGCATTACATCCAAGATAAAAATGGCTAAACTATATTCATTTCTTCTTAAAGCCCACTTGCTTTTTCTTCTTCTTTTTTGAAGACTTGTTTGTAGATGTTGGATTCACTATCTGAGATGCCTGAGTTGATGGGAGACTTTAAAGTTGATGTTTCCTTGTTAGCTCTTAACTTGTACCTGAGTTTCTTGTTAGAGACTTCAACCATATTACTTTCATCAGGTCTATCAACCTCCACGACCGCAAAGCCTTCGCTGTCATCATTCACTCTTTCTTCCTCGATGTCCCCAAATCTTACCCCTGCTGAGTCTTCATCTCCAGCATCATCACTCTCTTCACCAACATCAACTATATTTGGATTCAGCGCCCTCTTTGTTTTGTCTCCATCAATTTGTTCAAGCCAAATATATCCTTCAACATTGTGCAAAATAGAATGATCGGTAATATTCGTAACGTGAACATCTTCAGTCACGTGGAAGAAACATTCGTCAATATCTTCGATTTTCCTCCATATTCGAACACTACCATCGAATCTACACTACAGTACTAAGCTCATACCTTCGTAGTAGGACCATGTGTCTGAATCTTTCCATCTAACAATAGTTTCAGTACCTTCTCTGTAAAAAACATGACTTTCTCACACAAACTGACCACCATGGTTAAATCATAAGGTGAACAATGTCATCCGTACAAATTGAAAAAAAAATGCATGCACATGTTAAGAATCACGAACAATGGAGGTAATTGTGGTTTGGTTTAGTGAAAATAGAAGAAATCACACCTAACACAACTTCACAATGTTGCCAATGGAGTGTTTGTAAACTTGGAGGAGGCGATGAAGAACAAAGTATTCTAGTAGGTTTTCACGGGGGTGAACAAGAAGAATCAGGTGACTTTTGATTTCAATTACTTTAACTAATTAAATAAATTATTTCAATTGATATTTTGTAAATAAAATAAATAAATTTTAATAAAGCCACATGTTACTCATTTTAACAAAAAAATTCTAACAAGTCAAGTCCACATCAATATTTTAAGTGACCAGAACCACTAAAGGACTGAAACGAGGGAATCTACAAATTACAGAATGGAATATGTGTTTTTTTATAGGGTTGTTTTTGGGATTCACCCTATATGGCAGGAGAAAATGACTGTTAACCCTTAAGTATATTATAGATCATCCATTAAGAAGGTCTACAATATCTGACACATCATTGTATCTAACCCCAAGGTCATATCTGAAAACTAATGCATTGATTTTTCAAAAATCTAAAAGCATTAACGTGCTCACACTATTCCGAGTTATATGGATCATATTCATACATAAAATACGTCACCACCTTATGCTTATCCACTAATAATCTCAAAAATGACCTCAGATGAAATAACATCTGCATTGAGTGCATACATGTCTATATTGGTTGTAAAGAGTTTGCAAGGGACGATGTGGGAAGTAAGAGATACGACGTATTTCACTCAATACTTTCCTAATGGTCGTATGTTATATCAATTCTTTTACTAGATGTGACGTCCCTTTTTCAAATACATCATCTTCCTCTAGGATAACTCAACTTAAGTAGTATAACGTAAGAAATGGTGTGTCCCTATTCCAAAACGATATAAAAGTAGTCAAGAGAAAAACTAATCATGTTATCATAATAATAGGAGATTAATTGTCCACTCCCACGTTCTTTAAGTGGTGGTAGCTACTTAGACACTTTGGATCCGGACCCAAAGGTTTTTTTCACTACTACAAAAAACATATTTTACCAAGATAGAGGGAAAGCTATACCACGGTTGGAGGTTCGTGGTAATGAAGGTTGTGGTTGTATGTGCCCTATTTATCCCAAGGGACTGGTAGACGTGGTAAAAACACAATAGCACATATTGTATCACCATGATGTAAAAACCAGTTGTAGTAAAAGGAAGATGTCATAGGCTCGATACCTAGCGTCAACATTTTGAGAAAGCGTGCATCATGGCCATGTTGTTGCTACTGTAAGTGACTTGGTGACTCCTCTACTGATAATCAAGAAGAATTTGTTGCAGGCCGGTTTATTTCTGGGTTGTGTTGAAAAATGTTATTGTTGCGCAGTCCAACCCAATGGCTGCAAATTACTGAAAGAAGGCATTTAACGCCTAATGGACAATCATATAATTCTGATCGAGAAGGTTCCTTCTGTTGAGAATCTATGTCAAGACTTATTCGTAATTTCTGGCTCTCATGCCAGGATCACCTTCAAAGGTCCTGTAAGGATTACTGCCAATCCAAAAGTTTCTCCTCTAATTATCACTACACCTAGACCTATCCCATATTCTTCAGATAAAGCTATTCCTTGGAACTATGGATCCAACATCTACTACCATGACGTCAAATAAGAACTACCGACTATTGAAGATAAATTTACTGAAGTTGTTGATCCCGACATTGAGAATATTGTCGGAACCAGTAAGGTTACTAGGAGTGAAAGGGTTTTCTCCCCGGAAATATCTCAGAAGACTATTGCTACACCTGTTGGAGTTACAACCACAGAGTCAACTGTTGAGGCTCGGGGTAAAGATAAAATAACAGAGCCTGCCCAGATGGAGACACCTAAGGAAGCTACATTTGAAGACGCCTCTAGACAAGAGTCAGAAGAGGTATTGAAGATTATACGCATGAGTGACTACAAAATTGTTGAATAGCTGGGACAGGCCCCAAAAAATCTCCATGTCATCCCTGCTACTGTATTCTAAAGCTCAAGCACAAGCTTTAGTAAAATTCTTGAAGACTGCTCACGTGCCACAAGAGATCTTTGTCGATCAATTTGGAAGCTATGTCTCTAGCTTAACGGCTGACAATGGATTAGGTAAAAAAGGATGGTACATAGGGAAGTGGATCTTCCGATCAAAGTGGGTTCGCAGATCTTTGAATTTACATTCTATGTAATGGACGTTCAACCAACTTATTCTTGCTTACTGGGATGCCCCTAGATCCACGAGGCAGACCCTGTTACCTCTACCCAACATCAGAAATTAAAATATCCAGGGAACGGAAAGATTGTTACTGTCTGCGGTAAAGAAAAGTAAATGGTTAGCCACTTAAACTCTTTCCGATATGTAGATATGGTCAGATAATTAATCGAGACTCCCTGTCAGGCTTTTGAAGTTATCCCTCCATCTGATACTGAAGATGTCTCTACCATTCCCAAAGTTACTGGAGTTCTTCCCAGGATGGCTTCATTAAAAGATGCTAAAGCCACTGTAGAAGAAGGTGGTTGTATTATTTGGGGTCATCTTCCTGACATCCCCTGTAAATCAGACAAGTTTGGTTTGGGTTTCACTACAGAGGATCAGAGGTTTGTTCTTCACGCTCAAGCTAGAAGGCCATCATTCCTCCTCGGTAACAACAAAGTCAATGTAATAGAAGATGCTGACAGTGATTATGACCTTGACAGATGGATCTTTCCTACCATTGCCAATGGGCTCAACAACTAGAAGGCCGAGGACATTATCTCTATCTCCTTTAGTCATGAGTAATAGCTACATTTCTATTTTTATTACTTTAAAGTTTTGGCTTTGTAATA